TTTTTAATCAGCAATGAACGTACAAAAAATAGTAACACAAAACGCTGAGAACTTTCCGGACAATCTAATATCAGCGTCCACCAGCGACTAGCAGCAGACTGCTGGTAGAGAGTATGGTGCGATAGGAGGGTACCAGCTGTCTGCTACCCTTCCTATCGCGCCATACTCTACCAGCAGTCTGCTACCCTCCTATCTCCCCACACTCTACCACCTGTCTGCTACTCTCTTTCGCGCGACACTCTCCACTCCCGGACGCTGCTAGACGCCGGTGGACACTGCCAGACGCTGGCTCACGCTAGATCGACCTTCAGCCATCGAGACGCTGGCAGACGCTGACACATGCTAGATCGATATCTATACCTTCCTAGTCGCTGACACTGCCGGACGCTCGGAACGGTGGTGGACGCTGCCGCAAACAATAAACGTAGTTTTGTACCAATTTATAGGCGAGAGATGGCAGGTTAGGTTGGCGGGGTCAGGAGCCGGTGTGGGACTTGACCACTGGACCATGCGCGTAGTAAACAGAATCACAGGTCAGTATACCGTCGGCAGCGAATGGTTCATAATACAAGGTGCACGATAAATAACAGGTGTTCAGAAGAGCTATAAATATCCTGTGGCCCTCTTTTCTTTGTCTCCTCATTTAACAGATCTACAATATCGCCTGAAAAGCTCGTTTATATGCCTTATTAGGTTCCAATTGTTAGTTTCAAAGACACTCCCTGCGCTCAAGCGATGGTAATCTAGTCCCCGATCTCTAAGATTGTCACACTTTCGCGGCTTAATAAGAAGTAAGGTGCTGTGGCCCTCATGGGTGGCAGTTCTGACGCCTATCTTGTTGTCCCGCCCACCGAAACTCAAAGGCTATCTCCTATCGCAAGTGTTTTTTCACTGTCTGATGCCATTAGCATTGGATGACGCGAAGAAACAGTGAGCCAGATAAGGATATCGCTATTCTGACATAAAACGAGTTCATGCGGACAACTCGTACACCGAGGCTACCAGGGGGTCCTCACGGTGTTCTTCATGATTTTTTGCGCTTTTCTTCCTTGAAGAGTCGCTTGGCGACTATGGGTTCGTAAATGAACGCCATTATCCCGGGGTTTGTCTTTGAGTCGTATTCAAACCACACTGCAATCCGGTGAACGCTCGTCCTTAGCGGAATTTTCCCTTCATCATTGTTCGCCATTTCAGCACCTCACGAGTTATCATTTCCGCACTGTTAATCTACTCAAAGATCAACTCCAACCCGTTTGCCATGTCGCTACAGCGCGTCAGGTGAAAAAAATCGTAAACGAGAAGCTAGGGCGATGCCACGAGGAAGCACGAGAAGAGTGTTGCTGAAGTGAACGCCTCTGCCACCTTGTTGAAGAGGGCTGTTCATACCACACAGGTTGGAAAGAAGGCCCTGCAACACTTCAAGAAAGCTCTTTGCTCCACGCCTTGGACGCACAGCCGTACGCGACCACCCGTCAGTTGACCCCGAGTTTACGCTGCATTCGGTCCACAGTATACCTACAGCCTCGGTCAGAGAGGAAAGATATTTGGC